TTCTCAACCCGAAGAACAAAAACAAGAGAAAAAAAACCACTCTCACACCAAAAGCACTCTTGTATTTTTCTCTCACACATTTTCTTCAAAAAAATCCTTAACCCTACATACAAAACAAAACTTTTATATGTAAAACCTTTTTAACCTAAAAAGGGACCATACCAATCGTTAGATTAAAATTAATCCAACGGTTATAAAATAAGACAATCCCAACAAGAATCTCGACTTATAACCACCCCTGAGTGCAGGCACATTAATCTTATGATTAGAATGCATGGACATGATGTTGTCGTTTTGTGCATGGAAAACCAAATAAGGAGACAAAAATCTATAAAGCTTTTAAACTTGATGAGAAATTTGTAGTTAACCCAGTTCAAGTGGCCTATGGCCTTGTTCGAAAAAAGATGCTACTAATATAAAAATTATTTTGGCGAATGATCGTCTTGGACATACTCAAATCGGAGACAATGATAACAATAACACTTATTATCTAGCATTTGTATGTGCTCTTCCAAATAAAAAAAATAGAACGAGTTGTAGTTTGTGAGTGACTTGAACAAATAGCTACCGGACATGCAACTCCGAGTGTCTCCTTGGAGATTTTAACAACTACAAATCCATCAAGTGGAGCTCAATTTGTCATTTGAGTGGTGATTTGGTTGGTAAATAATTAGGTGGTCTACGACAAAATGCAGTTTTGAGCCCCATTATTAGTTCTCACTATCTTAGAAAAGAGATATTAAAATCAGACTGGATCGGACAATTAAAGAAGTTCTAGAGGATGAAAATAAAAGCTTAGGCCAGACCATAGATTTGAAAACCAGACTGGATCGGACAATTGGACACCGGTTGAGACGTCATTGGACTAATTTCCTATAAAATAGATATGGAAAAAGGCCATGATAAACATGAATGGCCTTATATAACGTAGATCCTTGAAAAACAGATTAAATAAAAAAAGATTCATTTAGTCAGGGAATGTAAACTTTGATTAGCTATCAAGAACTTGTAAATGGGTCTTTGGGGGAAAGATTCTATCCATCAAGGGGCATAAGATAAGGAGTTCTCCTATCTTCCTATAGTTTTGTTCTTTGTAGTGAAGCCCTTAAGACAATTACTCAGCTCTAGTGGCAATCAAGGTTCTAAATATCAACATGTCGGCCCGTGTTGGTGTTTTTTTTAATGTTCCACTTATTTTTTTTTCAAAATTGGTTCAAAGGGGCCGGTTTAAGGCCCGATTATCCTCTAAACTAGTGGCTGACCCGATACAAACCTCTATAGGGGCATATTGGGAAACTACCAGCATGATACGTATCAGGCTGATACATTGAATCTTGGTGGCAATCAAATGCTAATCTTGGCATTAAAATTGCAAGAAATTCCTCAAATATCCCCATTGATATGATTACATAATATTTTCTAAAGCATATATATATATATATATATATATACATTTAGTAAATGTCGATGTGCATTGCACGTTGAATTTTTAAATTACAATGACAATTATTATCATCAGCATTATTATTATTGTTGTTGTTGTTGTTTTTATTTAATTTCGGATTCCATTTTCATCATAAATAAAACTAATTTTTATTTAATATGATGAATATATAACATTAGAAATATTCTCAAATGTTTTTGACAAAATTGTTTACTTTTCATTTTTTGTGTTCTATATTTTTTAAATATTTATTATACATCATTAATAAAAATATTTCTTATATTTCATACTTAATTTTATTTATTATAATGAATATATAATATTAGAGATATGCTCAATTAATTTTTTTTGTATTTTATATATTATTTATTTTGATTTTTTTTATTATTTGATTAGCATTATTGGTTAACCCATTTGACCCAAATGGTTGAATTTCTTACCCACCACCTAGAGAGAAGAAATTGTTTCAAAATATTTATTTTTATATTATTAAAATCATTGTTGTGGATTTAATTAATATAATTTAATGATAAAAAAAATATATCTTAAATATAGGATTTAATGAGAGAATATACCTTAGATATGAGACTTAATGAGACAGAATAGGAAAATAATTTTATTTCCAATTGGTTTTAAATTTTATATTCTATTTCCATCATTAATTAAAGTATTTCTTATTTATCATACTATTATTGTCTAATATGATGAATATATGATATTAAAGATGTTCCAAAAATTTTCTTTAATTTCTATATTTTTTTTCATTTTATCAAGTTTTAATTTTTTATTATTTAATTGTGGCAAAAGTGCAACATGGGTTAGCCTATTTGACCCAAAATTGTTTAATTTCTTACTACCACATAAAAGTATTACTTTTCCAAGTCAATTTCAAAAGAACAAGTTTTTATGTTATTAGAATTATTTATGTATGGATTTAGTTAGTGGAATTTAGTAATTGAAAAAAACAAAAATACCTTAAATGTATGGTTAAATGAGGGTGAATAAGAGTTAATACCTTCAATGGAATTTAATGAGAGGGAATTGAATGCAATGAATAATAGTATTCAAATTACTTTTCTGCCCTCATAATAGATTGAGACCCTATTTCAAAAAAGGATATTTTAGTCCAAAAAGATTACAGAAATCTTAGACCCTATTGTACTTTAATTTATATATTTGTTTTGTATTTTATCAAGTTTTAATTTTTTATTATTTAATTGTTGCAACAATGCAACATAGGTTGGCCTAAAAATACTGCCTTTCCAAGTTAATTTCAGAAGTACAAATTTTTATGTTATTAGAATTATTTATCTATGGATTTAATTAGTGGAATTTAGTTGGAGGAGCAAAATTCTATGGAAAGGAAGAAGGTCAACTAAGCTAAGAGCAGTTATTGGAAGTATGGTCCAATGCTTCGAAAAGTAGAGTAAGGTAACTATATTAGCAAATAATAGAGCTGTAGGTGTTAAAAATATGGAGTTTATCAACAAAGCCAACCTAATGAGGCTTGGGTTGTGGATAGGGGTGGCATTTGGGCGGGTTTGGGTGAACTGGGTTTTGATTGATTTTCAATCCAACCCAAAAAAATACAGAATGTATAAATAAAGATAGAAAATACAGAAAATAACATAATGGAAGAAAATAAAAATTGCAAAATAATTATGAAAAAATAGAAAATGAAGAAAATAATATAAATTACAAAAACAAATAAATACACATGAAATTTACAAAAAATATAGAGAAAACATAAAAATTGAAGAAAGAATAACAGAAAATACAAAAGAACAAAGAAAAACATAAATTACAGAAAAAAATGAACAGGAATTGCACAAAAATTTATAGAAATTTCATTCCTTGGGTCTCAGATATGTTTGTCAATTAGGCCCAGGTCTTATAAGGGCATTTAACTATGAGATCGGCTTCAGTCAGTGCGAGGCCTGTTCAAACAGCCATTACAACCTTGCATCAGGAACATCTCCGTACTTCTGTGATTTATTTCTTGGGGAGATATTCCCGATGCAAGACTATAATGGTTGTTCAAACGGGCCTTGCACTGATTGAGTTCGGTTTCTTTTAACTGTTGGGACTGTATGTTATCATTTGTGTGGTTACTAAGTAGGGTTTACAGCTTATGTCCCCAGATGTATGTAGCACTCTGACACATTATGAAGGGTTGAATTGTTTCATTCTTAGAGAAATGTGTGGAGGTTCTCGGTGTGCCTAATTGCTAGACTTGTGATGTGGGTCCTGCCATGCTGGCACGGCATGGATTGAAGGCGGCCCTGACGCCATTAGTGTTGTGTCGTGTAGGGCCTCGGGCCTTGGTGGGCTGCACTTGGAAAGCCTAGTCCCCTTCCGAGGTCAGGCCTGGAACGACCCGTAGCCTAGTTCTTAGCTGTGTCGGGCCCTACCCAGGCCAAGCCCATTTTTTTCTTTTATAATTTTCCTAAACTAAGAAGGCATAGAAAAAATAAAAGAATAACATATAATAATAGAAAATTAACATGAATAAAAGACAATAAGTTAGAAAAAATTGTGAAATTTTTATTTCATTTCAAATTTAATATGTACAAAAAAGTAATAGGTTGAAAAGATAATGCATTGGAGTTGAATTAATAAAATGATAAAATTGAAAATAAAAATTACAATGGGAATGGATTATTGAAAATATTGCAAATAGCTCTCAAATAAAATTAAAAATATTACAAATAATTCTGAAATCTGGGCTGTGCCAGGCCGGCCCACATGTCGTGACATGGCGTGTCTATGGGTCATGCTGGGCTATTTGATCGGGTCGTGCTTTAGGGCCTGTCCCTTCCACAGGATATAAAAACATCATTTTATAGATACATGTCATGACATTTCCATCCATATAGGAATTCAATCCAAAATAATTCGCTTTATTTTCATCTTCTTCATAATTCCTACATCTAGGGGTGTCAATGGACTAGTTTTGGATTGGACCCCATCTAAATCAAAATCAACTTAGATGGATTGGACGGACCAACAAGACATATTGAATTGGACCAGTCTAGACTAAATGGTCCAAAGTATTTATTATAAAAGATTGGAATATAGGTGTTAATGGAGCAGGCTTGGGTTAGAATTAATCTAAATTAAAACAAATTTGAACAGATAGGACAGTCCAGAAATTGAATTGGACCGATCCAAAATATTCATTGGATTATATTGAATCTGATCCATTTATAATGAACTCCCAATGGATTGAATCTGATTGGACCAAATCCAATCCAATTGACACCCCTACCTACACCTATTACCTGTTGACACTAATTGCGAACTCCTCGAATTTGTTGTTCTCATTTGCAGTAGATCATCTGGTATGTAATGCGGGCATTGTTAGTTTCGGGAAATTTGAAAATGTGCTCGGTTTCTCAAATCTCAAATCAGTGATGGTAATCCATCGGCCTAAACAAGTATTCATATATTCCTTTCTATATATACAAGCTATCTAATTATCTAACTTTTGTGCTTTTGGGTTTTATATATATATATATATAAATATATAGGATATTAACTTCTGGGGATCCATTTATCCAACTTATTTTGCGATTCCTCACCTTAGAAAAAGCAAAGGCAAGATCGTTGTCAATGCTTCAGGGACCTCATGGTTAATCTCACCATTCTTCAGCTTCTATGGTGTAAGGATTCACACATGTATACAAGTCTATTGATCCTTTTTTTTCTTTATTTATTCTTCTTCTTAATACCACTTTTCTCTCGTAATTGAAATTTCAGGCAAGTAAAGCAGCGATAGTAAATTTCTATGAGACAATGAGAATTGAGTTGGCTCCGGAGATCAAAATAACAATAGCAGCTCCTTGGTATACAGAATCAGAAATGGTCAGCCATGGCAAAAGCCTCACAAAAGACGGTGTAGTTGAAAATAGTCGAGAAATGAGAGAAGTAAGTCCAAACATTTCTTATTTGATTATGACATTATTTTATATATAGGTTGGTTTTAAATTTGATATTCCATTTTCATCATTAATATCAAAAATTATTACAATTCATACTTATTTTTGTTTAGTATAATGAATGCACAATATTCAAAATGTCTAATTTTCTTTTTGTAGTATATATTTATTTATCTTAATTTTTATTATTTGATCATAAAATTATTTAGTAACCCATTTGACTCCAAATGGTTGAATTGCTTACCCTATATACTAAAAGGGAAGAAAATGGTTTTATTTTAAAATTATTTTTCAAAATATTTATTTTAATTTTATTAAAATTAATGTTGTTAATTTAATTAGTAGAATTTAATGGTGAAAAAAATATATCTTAAATATATGATTTAATGAGAGAATATACCTTAAATATGAGATTTAATGAGAGAGAATAAAAAATAAATTTATTTCAAATTTAGTTTTAAATTTGACACTCCATTTGAATCATTAATAAAAACATTTCTTATTTATCATACTTATTATTATTTAATATATGCCGAATATATGATGTCAAAAATGTTTTCAACTTTTTTTAATTTCTACATTTTATTTTGCATTTTATCCATTTTTGAATTTTATTATTTAATTGTGACAACATGATTTGACCCAAAATGGCCCATTAAACTCCCAAATGACTTGTCTATTAATGTTCTAGAGACACTGACTACACTCCCAACTTACACTTATCGGATGTTCTTTGTATTCCCAAATTTAATTTCAACTTGGGTGGAGTTTGGGAGTGCTTATTCTAATATGCACTCATGAGCATTTGGTGAAAAAGCACTTATTTCAAATAAGGATAGTATAGGTACTTTCAAAATGACATGGCAGGCCAAAGCATGCCAAAAAGGAAATAAACACTTAAAAATAAGCCCAAAATTTTGGGCCTATTTTCAAAATGCAAATAAGCATTTATTGGTATACTCCCGGTCCAAAATAAGTGCTTATTCGAATAAACACTACTAGAGAATATCTATCTCACCTAACCTTTTAGATAAGCATCATGGACATCCTTTAATGTTCCTTTTCCTTTGGATAACTCTTTTAAATCTCGACCACATGATGTTGTCTATCTACCTTAACAAACTTGTTCTTTTCACTTAAGTACCCATCCTGTTAATGTTCCTTTTGATTTAGCGTATCGTGACATTTAGGGTGGATATTCCACACCTCATTTTGGTACCCATTATTTTTTAACTATAGATGATTTTTCACATTGCGTTTGGTTATATCTTATGCATTGTAAGTTTGAAGCCACTCAATATCCCAAACTCAATTTCAACACAAAGTTCTTCAAATTCAGACCAACAATGGTTATAAATTTTTTAACTTCCACTTTAAATTATTTCTTCTGTCAGAAAGAAATTTTGCATCAAAAACTTGTGTGAAGACATCTCAACAAAATTCCATTGTTGAATGCAAACACCAACATCTTCTTGAGGTTGAATATGCACTTCATTTTTAAGTAAATTTGCCTATTTTCTTTTGGGTAGAGTGTGTCTTTACTACAACATACCTCATTTACAAAACTCCTACACAAATCTTGATTGGAAAAGCCATCATTAGATGATTTTGAATAAAACTTCCTCCTATCATCACTTGTATGTCTTTGGGTTTCATGTTATGCCCATAACTATGAACCTCATCGTGATAAGTTTGCACCAAGAGCAAAAAAATGTGCTTTTGTAGGCTATCCTTTTGACCAACATGGATATCGTGTTTATGATCTTGAATCTCATAAAAGTTTTACTTATCATGATGTTGACTTTTATAAGGATCAATTTCCTTTTCGTACCCATAATGATTCTTAAACAAGTGAAGCTGTTGTACCCTAACTTGTTGTGGATTCTAATGACATTTCCCTCCTCTTTATCAATCCAGGCCCTCGTAGATCCTTACAAGCTGACAATTAGCCCACCTACCTCAATGATTATATGTGCCAAAGCTACTTCTCCACCACTCCAATTGTCTTTTTCAACAAGGAACCCTTATTCTATCTCTAATTTCATTTCGTATCATAAATTTTCTCTATCACATTTCGCTTTCTTATCAACAATATTTGCTAAACATGAGCGTACCACATTCACTCAAGCAACTATTTTGATGTGAGGTTATGGCCATCGAAAACCATACTCTATAATAAAATAACACCTGGACACTGGAGCCTTGTCTCCCTAGAAAGACATCTATTGGGTGCAAATGGGTCTATAAAATCAAGTACAAAATTGATGGTACTATTGAGTGCTACAAAGCGTGTCTTGTTACTAAAGGCTATACACATTTTGAAGGATTGAACTTTCATGAAACATTTGCATTAGTTGCTAAATTAGTGATTATCCAATGTTTGCTTTATTTGGCTTCAATTCATGGTTTGAGCTTACAGCTGTTAGATGTACACAATGCCTTTTTTACATGGCAATCTTGAAGAAAAGGTTTATTTTGACCTTAGGTGTTTTGATGATAACAAATACATTGAGAGAACTAATGGTGTATCTAAGTGAGAGGCATTTTTAATAAGTTTCTCTGTACTTGATGAGTATAAAAGCTAGACTACTACAATTGATGAAATGTAAACTTTGCTTAGTTGGATACTTGTGCTTCAAGAAGTATCTACACTATCATAATCATCTCTCCAATAAAGGAAACTCTAAGTGAATCAAATATCAAGGCTATTGAAGAACTTAAAGGCTTTAAAGCTGTTGAAGAATGATATGCTATTACATCTCATCAAAGAGAAAAAAAGACTACATGAAGTTCTACTTAATTTTTTTTTCTAGAATCTTGTTGTAATTCGTTGTATGATGTGTTCCATAAATGCTCAACAAGACTTAACTCAGTCAAATTATCTTAACAAACCAATTATTGGGTATGGTTCCTTGTCTTTTTTGATCATCCAATTGATGGATTGTACATCATTTGAAATGAGTTTCTCTCTCTCTCTCTCTCTCTCTCTCTCTCCTTTTATTTTGTTGATGTAACTACCACTAACCTTTTTGAGAGTGGAAGTAACTACCATTTAAAGCTCATAACTTTTTTAGTCAGAATGGATAGACACATGTTAAAAAAAAAAGAATGCTTCCATTTGAGAGTGGAAATAACCACTCTTTTACATTTTTTCTTAAAAAATAAGATGCCACTTGTTTGAAGGAGATGCCCTTTGGTCTAAGGGCTATGTTTTAATATATATACTATAGAATGATGACCACATACTAAGTACAAAGCTTGTATTCTGATGATTTTTTTTTTGCACCCATTATTTATGTTGTAAGTTAATTTTTTTATTTGATATTTTTGTCCTACAGATTTGTTATTTAATTTTAAAGACTAAAATGTTTTATTTCTAATCAGACCTCCATTCATGAACAAATATTAAAACAAGATAAAAATATTATTGACATATATTTTGGGTTGCCAATTACAATATATTTATGGGACTTAGTGACTAACAATGTGAACATGGATGTTGGACAGGTTCTGATAGGGAAATTACCAGTTATGAGGGTGGGAGTGTGTGCCAAGGATATTGTGAATGGGGCATGCAGTGGAGAGAGATATGTGATTGAGCCATTCTGTTACAAGATACTCTTTCTGCTCCAGTTCTTCTACCCTGGGATTGTTGAATGGGCTGCTCGCCGGTTATACATGGGCAAGTCAGGCACCACTTAGATGAAAGTGAAATATATAAGAAGACATTGAAATCAGAAAGTTAATGCATTTAAACTTCTAGTAGAATTAATTAATTAAAACATCACTTAGCTAGTCTTTGTAAATCTCAGAGATCATTGACATATCTAATAAGTAAGGAATAATAATCCTATTGGGAAGACTACTTGAAGGGGTTGGGACTTGTTGCTACTGCTTTAATAACTCATAAATCGTTCCACTTTAAGGCTACATTTGGTTCTTGTACAAATAAATTTGCACTTTGATAGTGCGAATGATATGGGTGCAAATTCTAATTTATTTTTGTTTCAAGTTTTATTTTATTTTGTTTGATTCCAGTACAAATGATGTAAGATAAGATCTGGAATAGAATGCGGTGATATCCTAAACAAAATTAAAATAGAATTTTCATTGTTTTTCATTTGCACTCTCATGCATCTATACTAGTGCATATGAGATTGTAATACAACCAAACACAGCCTAAAAAAATAGAATGGAAGCAAATACATGATTGAACAACTAGGAACCTCTTGTGCTTATTATTTATTGGCTCCAAAGCTTAACAATCAAAAGAATTGTTGGACCTTATTGATTTCCCTAACAATTTGTAATAAATATGAATGCCTTAAATTAAATTTGCTCTAACTGTTATATGTGTAACCTCTAAAATTGACGTGAAACCCATCTTTAGCATGTAACTCAAAAAATATAGAGAATGTGTAGAAAACTGATATTCATTTCTCTCCAACTCCCATGCATTGACCACTGTTCTTGAGAGGGGGCCCTTCAAATCTCTCTATTTCCTTCTCCATTAAGTGATGGGATTCTCTCTTAATGCTAAAACTTGTGTGGGAGGGCTAAGACCCTTCCCTATTTATAGGGATAGAGGAGTCATTCCATCAAGGACTCCTCTTCCTACTAGAATTAGGACTTTAGATTTCTAACTTTGAATGGGATAATTCAGGTTTTTTTTTTTTTTTTTAACCCAAAGACTACCACCAATTTAAACTAAACTCCAACATTCCCCCACTTTACTCTAAAGAAGGTTCTTTTTGGAAAATATTTATGAAAATGATTCTCCTAGATTAATAATTTTAAAAGATCTATTGAATATGCACTTTGATTTTAAAAACAACCACTAGCTGATTATAATAGAAAATTGCAATTAATGGAGTCCTAGAGTCCTAGAAACCATCAGCAAGAGTCATGAAAGTCATTACACCATCTAATTCATACAAGATAGTACATGGTTACAATGTTCAATACACCCAACTGTGCACCAATATGGAAAAATAAATAAATGACTAAGACATCACACCTAGTGTAAGCACCCAATTGATATAGGATCATTTCATGGCTGGAATGTGAACGAGCTAACACCCAGCAAAAAGGTAACACATGGAAGTAATGGGCATTCCATGTTCAAGAAAGCAAAACATGACTCATATATATTCAATTTGAATTTCTCGAGGTACTTTTAGGGGAGAGAGGGAAGGTGTTAGGCACCCCTCTCCAATAATAGGCATGTAGTATCAATTCCTCAAGAACATGAACAAAGAAAATAACTAAAAACTTGAAAACTTTTAGCCCATCTCTATTGAAATTTTCCCATACCAAGAAAATTTTACCCCATCCAACAAGAAATTCACCTTTTCATAGCCTTTCATTAAAACCTCCAACAGTTTTAAAAGATTTTGGTTGATAGTTTGAACTTGAGCAAACACAATGGGGGTATTTCCTTCTTGCTTTATTGCTTTGTTGGCCGAAATTGGTATGCTCTCTTGGTGTGAAATCGAAGGGAGAAACTGATTTTTCTCTTCTTTTTTTCTTTTCCTCTTGGCTGAGTCGGAAGGGTGCTGGTTTAGGCCTTATGTTCTTCCTTCTTCTCTTTTCTCCTTCTTCCTACTTCTTCCTTCTTCCTCAATCTCATCAAATCAAGGCAGAATGGGGGGTCATTCTCTTTAGTTCCTTTTTTTTGGGTTATTCCTTGGTTGAGATGGAGGATAGTGGTTTATGATAGGTAGAGGGTGATGAAGATGGTGGTTCGATGGTATGTGAAAATAAGGAAGAAGGTCATGGACATAGTGGTTTGGTGGTGGAGAGAATGTAAGAGAGAGGAGGGATACCCTTCATCTTGGATGAAAAGGGTAGAAACCCTCTAGGGTTTCTTCTTCTTTCTTCTTCCCTCTTCTTCTTCTTCTTCTTCTTCTTCTTCTTCTTCTTCTTCTTCTTCTTCTTCTTCCTTGCTTAATTGGTCGAATGAAGGGTTTACTTCACTTTTTTTTGTTATTTCCTTAGTGAAGATGGGGAGTGGTAATATTTAGTGGTAGTGTGAGTGGAAAGAGCTAGAGAGATGGAGGGTTTTGTATTAGGTGGTGAAGTGTAAGAGGGAGATGGAGAGAGTTGGACTGGTTTAATTAGGAGAGATAGAGGAATGATGGAAAGGTGAACTCGATGGGAGAGTGAGGGAGGAGAGGGAGCTTAAGAGATGGAGATGGGATTCAGTGGTATGGGTTGTTGTGAGTGAGAGGTTGGGAGAAGAAGGTGATGCACCACTGGTTTGGTTTCTTGAGAGAGTGAAGGAAGGAGCGAGGAGGAAGAAGAGAGTAGGTTTGATGGTTCTCTTCATTAGTTGGTGTTCTTAGGAGAGAAGAGAGTTAGAGTATGGCAGCATTTTTAGTTTTTTTGTTTTTTTTTTTTTGTCCAAATTAGGATAGAGGGGTTTTGGTTCAATTTAGTTGAAAAACAATCATAGAGGCAGTTTAATTAGGTTAGGACCAAATTGGGTTTGGTTTAGTTAGGGTTTTATTGTTGTATTCTCAAGAGAATGGATGGTGAGGATTCTTGGGTTTCAATCCAAAGGATGGGGTGTCTCTAGAGTTTTTTTTTTTTTTTTCTTTTCATTTTTCTTATTTTGAACAAACCTAGACACCCTCTTATCTAGTGTTGACACCCGATTTTTGCTCAGTCCCCTCTCTAACCCACTTCTCACACTTCAGATTCCCGATCAGACCTCACCAATCTTTGCAAAATATGTCAAAATCCTAAGAAAACAAATTAATTTCAACCCTAATACCCTCAAATACACTGTTAAATCTATAAGATTTTCTTTTGACGGCCATGATTGCACCAGGTAACCATACCTATCTTCCAATCAGACTCTATCACATTTGCAAAACCTTTGAGCATCCAATCACACTAAATTTCATCATTAAATTCTTTGGTTTTGTTGTTCATCCATCAAAGATTCTATTTCCACACATCTAATCCTACAATACTTCTCGAGCCAAAAACTTGTGGTCAACACACCCTTGACATGATCAAACCCTTCCAATGGCCTTATAATTTTAACCCATGCAATTCTACCAAATTCCAAACTAAAATTTCCTCATTTACTCATCCATCAAACCAAGATTCCATTCTAAGCTTTCTTATTGGTTGAAATACCTACAACCTAAATTCTCATAATTCCCACATCTCTAAAGCCATTGGGCACTCCCATTAGACTCAAAAGACCCTAAAATACCCATCCACAAAATCCCAAACCTTGAAATCCCCATTTTGCTCTTCATACACAAACACCCACAAGAGATTGATCCCACCATAGCATCAACCGCATGTGGAGGATCAAATCTATTATTGTAGTGAGATGATTTTCATTCGTTCTCTAAGGTATGGCATTTTTATCTTGTTACTTTATTTACTTAATTTTGCCTTTGTAGTCCCAATATAATTCATATTGTATTTAGTAATATCCATTTCATTCTAAGTAGTCGAGAAGAATTGAGTCTTTGGGGTTGTTCCGAAGATGCATTTTGCATGAAGCTCTTCTATTGTTTTGAATAAATAATAATTGCATCATTCTTGTTTTTTTACACATTTTAATCATTAATGTATTTAGAGCTAGTTTACGTTCCTTCCTTTTTGCTTTCAGCATATGTCAACCATTAATTTGTTCAAGGCTAATTTCTTTGATTCCTTTTTTCTCTAACATCTTAATTAGTCTATAGTAGGTTTAGCGCTAATGCTAGTTTTTCTTTTTTTTTGAAAGAAATTTTATTCTAGTTAAAAATTTTCAATAAATCTACAACTGATTTCCTTCCCTTTTTCTTATTTTTTCTTACCCATTTTAATTAGTCTCTAGTTAGCCTCCATTTTAGTGTCATTTAGTGGTAAGTGTATGTTGGCAAACAACTTGAACCTAAAATTGTCAATTAATCTAACATATGCATTACCCGAACATTCACTTTTGTCATTATACAAATAGGATTCTTATTTAAATTTTCCACCGTCACCCCATTCCCACCTTAAGATCATTCTCATCATTCTCTTATTTCTAACTTGGGTCCCAGATCATTCATTATTAGCAGGACCTGTATGATGCACGGGAAAATCTAAAAGATTTAATAATTTTATTTTTCATTTAATGTTGATTTATAAAAAATAATTACTGTTAATTGAATATGAACAAATATTTTTTAATAAATTTAGTTTTATTAATAATTTGTACTAATTTTAATAATTTTTATTTTTTATTAATTTTAAAGAAAATGTTGATTAATTTTAAATAAATAAAAATAATTATAAAAGCTAACATTTTTATTAATTCTACTAATAATTAACAATTATATAGGAATGACAATGGGGTGGGTTCAGGGCAGGGCACCCCATTCCTTTCCTTGCCCCATAGTCAAGACACTTTACCCCATCCCCGCCCCGTCCCTAGTGTCACGTAGGTTTAGGGCAAGGTAACCACTCCTCAATGTCGGGCGAGTTCAAGGGAAAGGGACCCCACTCCTCATTAAGGATGGAGAATCCTCAAATTTCCCTGCCCCATCCCCAGTATTGGGCGGGTTCAAGTAGAGGTGTAAATTGGGTCGTGCTGGGCCGACACGATATGACTCGCATGTGGCCCACACAAAGTGCGAGTCATGTCGTGATGGTCCACGAGGTGTCTCGGGCTATGCCTCCCTCCACTAGAATAATTTGGGCATCGGTTCGGCACAGTCCATGGCTTGAGCCAACACAGGTCCGTGTTGCGCCGTGGGTCGGACTTGTCCATGGGCCGAGCCTTGGGCCAGGCCATGCCACACACCAAGCAAAGCTCAAGGCAAAGCACCCACTCCCCATCCAAGGTTTTTAAAATTGGACCAGATAGGGAACCGTTCTAGGGTCAAACAGTCTGATTGTTTGGTCCGAATGGATGACCCGCTCTGACAAAAAAATAAAAAATTAGAAAAACAAAAATAGGCCAAAAATTGTTGTCCAGGTTAACGGTTCGACCGCCCAGGTCAGTATCTCGCTAACCAAATAAATGGTTTTTGGGCAAAAAACAGTTTTGAGGTGAAACGGTGTCTGGTTCCCAATTTTTTCGGTCTAACCATCTAGTTTGATCCAGTTTTGAAAATACTGTTTCCGTCAACCCAACATTTAATTTGATGATAGAAATGATCAAAAGGATATATTGAGCATCAACACACGGTAAATTTCTAAACGTACACTAAATTGTCTTTAATATTCAAAAATGTAATTTTATTTATGAAAATTTTGGAAAATTTATTGTACTCATGTAATTTTGAAAATTTATTCAAATTTATTTAAATTTTTATTAAACAATGTATTATCTTTTCAAATGGTTTACTTATAGAATTATACTAATTTATCTTATAATTTCTAAAATAAACTAACCAATAATTTCCTTTTTCCGATATTATACTAATTTATCTTAATAATTTGTGTAATTATTTGTTCAAATTATAGTTTTTCATTTCCCATAGTCATTTATCTTTAAAATTTTCAATAATTTGCAATGAAAATTACATAAATTTTCAATGGTTTTCCAAAATCTATCAAATGTAATAAATTTTCCTAAATTTTCCAAAATATTCTAATAATTTTCAATAATTATTTAATACATTTTAAATAAACTTTCAAATACTTTATATCTTTTAATTTCAAAAATGTTATTTTACGAAAATGTAGTTTTATGAAAATTTTTGAAAATTTTATTACATTTGTGTAACTATGGGGACTTATTGAAAATTTTTTTAAATTATTATTAAATATATTAAGTATGAGAATGTTCCTATGCATGCCGAGATGTACATGTGAGGTGCCTGTGAGGTGTTTAGTTTGAAGGAAAAAGTAGGAAAAGGTAGGAAAACTTTACATAGCCCAAGTCTCTACCCTCCAAAGACCCTATCAACTGATCCAATTAGCACCATAGCAGTGCAACCAACTATTAAAAATGTTCATATATTAAAAATTATTTATTTCTGTTTGTCTAGCATCCTTTTTCTCCATTTCTTATATTTCCGTTTCATTTTTCTTCCCCCTATCCCCGTTTATATGTGCAGGTTGGTTGTTGAGCAAAATTTAGAATGGGTCAAGATAGGTTTGAAAACCTAAGGTTGTGTCAAACTATGAACGCCCATATCTAGCGCTTCTTTTTGGTAGAATGGTAGGTGCAAAAAAATTGAACAACTTCCTATTGGCCTGCTTCCTTAGATAGTCTCAGTACTCCACATTAGAGATTGTTCTGCTTTCTTCTGTCTTTACATATGAAATATTACATTTTCAGAGCAGCAATGGCTCCTTCCCCCTTAGCACAGATAGCCCTTTACCTTAACAGCCATTTGAGTTAAATTTTACTGTCATGAAGATAACTGTAAAACAATCTCCATTAATTTGAAGAGATAATCCTGTCTCTTAACTTTACAGTTGGTTGAGGTAGCATAGACTCATTTTGATAGGTCATGTTAGCCCATTAATTTATGAAATAAAATGCCTTACTGTATAAAAACTAAACCCTAAGATTGGTCAATGGTCATATGTCCAAGAATTCTGAAGGTGCAACAAATAGTACTTGGCCCTCTATTTACTATTTATCAATCATCATGTGTAAAAAAGCACAACAAAAAACTTGCACAAGTTCAACCTGATAAAATCCAAATTTAAGTGCAAAAAGAGATTTCTTGGTGAAAAAACAATAGAATATGTTTAGAATTTTAGATGGATTTGGTGAACCAGCACAACCACCCAAGCCCAAGGAAACCTACCTAGCTAATATTGGTCTGGGGTCGAACCCCAGGGTGTTCACTCCAACTGTACTGAAACATTGGTATCTTATGTTGACAAAAGAACACAGAATCTCAGCTCTTTCTCCATTTTGAACTACAACATTTTATTTATCAAGAATTGGAGTTCTCTCAAGGGACCAATCAACCTAAAAGCTTAAGTTGATAGGTGAGGTTCTTGAAATGGTTTTTAACTTTTTATTCTCTAGCAAGACCCCTGACATGAGGTCTCATCGGGCTTGACTCGTGGAAAAATACAGGCCCACTCAGACCATGTGCTTAAATTTAATTAACTTTAATGAAGCGGCAAGAATTGAACATTAAATCACTAATTTTATTCAAACAGACTCTGAACCATCTTAAGAAACAATTCAACTTAAAAACTTAAATTAGTAGGTGAGATCCCAAAATAGGTTTTTATTTTCTAACATGTTCGGGCTATAATCGGTTTAAATTTACATTGATTTTCGGTTCCAATTTAGCTTGGCTTAATTCTATTTGGGCCTGGGTTGAATATTTGAAGTTCAGAGATAGAAACCACACCTCGCCCATCCATAGAATTTTTATATGTATTTCTAGTCATAGTATTAGATTGGTGATACCCAACAACCAAGTATAACAGATTAATCTATAGAAATACAAGAGATGAAAGGATTTAAATATTCAGCTGGGTTCTTTTAATAAATGTCCTATTAAAGATCTTCGTTTCGAGATTTAATTGTTTATTAAATGAGTTTAAACTATCACATGTTTTAACATAGGGTAAGAGACTTGTGCATACCCTGGGTTTTCATAAATTGACTTCAACATATCCTTACTTTTTCAAATAGACTTAAATATATATCTTATGATTCTTTTATCCTTTATTTTCTTTCAAATTTTCAAAAAAAAAGTACATGAATAAATACAATTACAATTTAGTCTAAATAGAAATTATGTTAAATGCTACTACGGTCTATCCACCTCTTTGAGAACCCATAGCCATGGTTTCCTATGACCAACAAATGTAAGGTATGTTTAAGTCCAATAAGGTCAGCCCACAACGTATATTTAAGTCTATTTAAAAAAAAAAAAAACCTTAAAATACGTGTATGCCAATTTATGAAAATCCAGGTATGTTGAAGTCTTTTACACTTTAAATATTTGATAGAGATAAAAGAAAAAAAAAAAAGCATATTTGATATGGGTTAGACTCTGTAAGTTTATTGATATAATGATATGTAACATATGGATTCACAACTGCCTAGATAAAGTTATCATCCAGATCAATGTTTTCAACCATCATTGCCCGTTTGGTCAAATCATTTGATGGGTCACTCAGTCACAATAGACCCATTGGCTCGATGAAAAACCCACCGACCGGGGCAATTGAACCAAATAATGGGTCATGGGTCAGGTTTTTGATGGGTCACTCAGTTTACTTGTTGCATTTGTTTTGTTTTGTGAATTTGTGTGATGAATATATAGTTAAGATTAAAGTGATCCAATTTTGAGCAATTTTCTGTCTAGCCCACCACCAAAGGGAAATATGAATCAGGCTCTTGGTCAGTTTATACTTTATAAAACACTTCATCCCAGTTGGGGACGATATAATAGGGCCAAATTTGTTGGGGATACAATACAGCCCAATACAAAAGTGCTCTACAGCCCAACTGAACCCAAGAAATGTCCTAATTGGGTGTAAAATAAAATGGTTCTTCTTCTTCTTGAAGATGCTTTCCATTTATCAATAAATGTTACTTTAATCAGTATTATTAATAGTTTTTATATCTCACTCGTAGTCGTAGATATCTTCCTCTTCACCCTTCCATCGACGTGGAAAAGAAGGTGAACAAACTTCAACAATAAACCCAACAAATTCATCAACACTTGTCAGACCGACTTATTTGTAGCTCTGTTTGGTTATCTGAACACTCAAAATTCTCCATAAAGAAATATCTATAAATACTCAACCCTTGCTTGTTGTTTCTCTTCATCACTCAACCAATATACCCAGTTTCTTTTTCTCACAGTAAGCCTTCTAGCTACCACATTGTCATGGCTTCCAACACATTCTTCTACGTATTCCTCCTCACAGCACTCTTATCTCCAAGCAGCAGCAACATATGTCTGGCCTCTCGCCACCTGCTCGACACTGCACCAGTTGCTCCGCCTTCATTGCCGGCAATACCAAGCATTCCATGGTTGCCCAAACCTACGTTGCCTACACTACCAACAGGAGGCCAATTGCCACCTCTGCCTGTGGTGCCCAATCTGGCAACGATGCCCCCATTGCCTTCTATACCAACCATCCCAACTATTCCAACAATCCCTAAAATTCCAACCATCCCTACCTTTCCAACAATCCCTTCTGTTCCCAAAGTAGCATTACCACCAACAGTGCCAACTATCCCTTCTATCCCACAGATCCCAACAATCCCAGCGATCCCAGCAATCCCTTCACTCTCTCCACCCCCATCAGCTGCTAGTCCTTGATATCTCTACCTTGCGTGCCTATTTGGGAAGGAGTAACTCGTTTTTGTCATTACACGACGTGTTGTATTGCAGATCAGATCTGTTTTCTAGCTATGTTATCTGTTATCTGTTTTTATATTTATATATTGATTTTTGTGAGGCTTAGTTAGTGGTTGTTTAACTTTAATACATTGTTACTTGTTGACTTCTACGAATTTGCCTCTTAGTAAAGATCTTCCAAACGCTCTTGATTTGGAACAAAATCCCATGGCAGGCTCAAGAGAGAGTTGACTTGGATCACTTTTTTTGAGAATCCCAACACACTATTATTTCTGCTGGAGTCTAAGAAATTGCTTTCTATAAGTCCTGCAAAATAGCAAATAACTCAATGAATTCGTCCTATCTCCATAAATACGAGACTCTATCTAGTAGATACAATATAAATAAGCATTTGATAACTGACAAAAAAAAAAATTCACATATCATAGTCGAACCCAGAAACCTGTATTCGTTGGATATGAAGGCGTCCCTCTCAAAACGCAGCTCCCCTTGGATCCAAGTGAACAGCTATGTGTGTTTTGTAATCTTACACGTAGAAAATGCCAAACATTTGTCTCTTGACTGTGATTTTGCTACCTAGGTCCATTTTATTTGCAGCCCTTTGGAACATAAACTTGCATACTATCTTCACGGGCTCTTGGATGGATTGCTTATATTCTCTAATTAGGTTTCTGCCTGATAAATTTGTGATTCTTGATCTCATCATCAGTTGGTATGCAGTAGCTTTTTACTATATCTGGCATGCAAGGAATGAGAATTGAGAAATGTTTTAGGAATCGATCTTATCTATCCCACACTGTTTTGATGCATATTAATAGCATTTTTAGGCCCTGTTCATTTGTCGGTAAATTATTTACTTGGATAAATGCAGTTATCTGGGTAAGTTTTTTACTCACCTAGGAGATAGGTATCACTTACCGGTCCCCACATAAATCTGAGAAAAGAACATGGGATTTTTTATCAATGGAAACCAAAATCCCATTGACCTACTTTCCCCCCTCTCAAAATCTGAAAAAAGAATGCCCCCTTAGTAGGAAGCAACACGATTCCCAGTCTGAGGCCCATACTAACGTTCCAATGCTGAAATTTCAATTACGTATCTCTGGTTCAACAGAGTTAATCATCTTCACAGATGATTGAAAATGTGCAAACCAGTTCTCCTTGTTCTTTGTACATCAACTCTTGAATATATGGGTAATTATGCAGTTCAGATCAGGTAGGCACAATGTTGTAAGCATGTTCAATGAGCACTTAAAATTATTTTTGACACCTGTCCCTTAAAATACCCTCGGCCCACCCTTGAAAAAGATTAAAGGTTCGACTATGATATGGGAAAGATATCATATGTGAATTTTTTTTGACCAATCAACTAGTATCATAAATGTGATAGCCAATTAGGTGTTATTTATCAAAACTCTTCCCATACCATATCTTTCCCCTATCAAGGTTTTTGATGTTCTGAGATAGAATTTACAAGAGGTTGTTGCATCACCCTATAGGCCACTTTGGACAAGAAAGTTCCCATTTGACTTGGGATCCAAATCCATCTTAGGCCTCATTCGCTTTTTGGTAAGTTATTTACCCAGGTAAGTACACTTACCCAAGTAAGTTTTTCCCAGGAAAGACTTACCCGGGTAAGTACATTTACCCATATTCTTTTATTTCCCATGTAAATAAGGCAATGACCATTTTATCCATAAAATTAAATTATTAAAAGGGGCATTTTTGTCCCATTCAAGTGTTGGCAACTTCTCCCTAAGTGGAATGTTATTTACTCATGTAGGAGATGGGTATCACTTGGGAATCAAAATCCCATTGACCAACTTTCCCCTCTCTCAAAATCCAAAAAAAGAATGCCCCCTTAGGGTATTCTCTATTGGGAAAATCTGTACGATCCTAATTACTGAGAACTCCTCCCCACTTACATAGTTTTCTAGAGCATTATCATCCCAAGTATTAGAGGAAATAATTTGATTAAATTGCAAATCTTGTAAAAATAGAGACATAAGTTGGTCCATATGGATGGTTGAACCCTGTAGGAAGGTTGGGCAAAATTTCAAAAAATTTCTTTACCCTCAGCCAATAATCATATTTCCAATTTAGAAAATTGCATTTTCAATGTTTATTATTGTAACCAAACCGGACCAAATCTGAAACCAAGATTAGGGAGGGATATACCTGATACGGAATCCACACAAAAAGCTCCTTCCAACGTAGGTGTTCACGCCCAAAGAGTATACCAAATCCTCCCTCTATTGAAGATGACACAACTTAGAATGAGGTAGGATCAGTAGGTAGTTCTTCACCAAGAACTTGTGATTCTTCAGCAAGAATCGAATGGGTTAGTGAGCACAACTTTAGAATTGTTTCTTCTAGAAAGAAACAATTTCAAGATCCAATCTTGATTAGTTCCAAGAAATGGAGATCGAATAGGGTAGAGCGGTAAAAGCGGGGAGAAAAAGAACTAAAGGCAGAATCAGTCAAACTAAGTTGTCTTCTGTAATGTCTATGTGTCTTTTTCATATCCGCCCTGCTATCTATTTATAACCTTAAAGAGACAACCTCCTAATCTGATTAGGAATCTCTTGATCCAAATCTTTATTTGGATCTGAATTCTTTAAGTGATAAGGATAATCCCTTATCTTATCTACAGTTCAAGATCAACTTATTCCTAATCAAATTAGGAGTTCCCTGATCCAAATCTTTATTTGGATCTGGACTCTTTAAGTGGATAAGAGTTATCCTCTTATCCTTATCTATTGATCCAAACCCAGATCCGCCCCTATTTGATTAGCCCAATTAACCAAGTTTGAAATGGGCTTTAAGCCCATTAAGCTTTCAAGCTCACTTCCTTTTAATGCTGTCTAGCTTGGCTCACTTTGTATGGCGTGAGACCCTAACATTGATTTACATATTAGCTACATGGGTTTAGCCTAACCTCTGTTACAAGGCCTGGCCGAATTTACTGCTGAATACAGTGAACCCCTGAATCCATCACTATGGGCTCTTAATGGGCCCAACATTTACACTAAATGGTCATTGGGTCTAGCCATCTTATGAAAGCCCAAAGACTGTGGGTAGATGCAAGATTAGCCCATCAGGTATAACCCTCAATGGTCTTAGACTTACACTTAACCTCTTAGCCCTTAATGATCAAACACTACCCGACAAGAGAGGGCCTCTCCCTTGGCTGCAAGGTACAGTGTTGCACTCTTTACTCACATAGATCCCGGGAATTAAAACCTTTTGCAAACAATTTGTGAAAACATAATATATAAGTATATCTCTATATAAATATATTTTACAAAACCCAATTTCAAACACATTTGAAATCCACTGCCAGCAGTTTAGGTTTCCATCAAAGAGAGTGCATTTCCCCGATCATTCACTTTGTCTGACAAAATGGCTGATCCTGTCACTATGATCACCCACTCAGGTGATTTCTCGGACTGCCCCAACATACCTATGTTTTGACCCCCGCTAAGGATCTCAGTGATTGGCATATTGAAGACAGCTCAATCTAACACCTAGTGCAGTACCATAATCGAGTTTAAGGGTTAGGTGTAACGTTCCAGTTTTGCCCATCTGTCTCCAAGCTTTAGGGCAATACTGGAATTTGGTCCGGTTGAGGGTTTCAAGAAAATCCACATTGCATGTACCTCAGGTCTCACCTTAGTAGTTGAGACAAGACACCCCAACCAACTTGGCGGTACATTAGTGTCAACCTTGGCAGGATAAGTCTCCCCAGATCTATCCAATGGTTGTGAAGATTTTAAACTAACACGAATCTCATATGTGTTCAGTTTAAGGGTATTACACAAAAACACACAATAATAATATGAATCAAATATGTACTTTATTCATTTACAATAAATGTCATAATGTACATCACGCTGATTGGAGATAAGAGCATACACTGTCTAACACCATAAACCTGAATGAATGATTGGAGAAGATTCAAGGCACTTGACTCACAGGTTTGGTGTTGTTAGAAGAAACTAAATACCCACATTCCTTACTAAAATCCCCTAGTTCCGGTGCAACATATTTCCAAAAGAAGGATGTACTTTTGGGGAAATAATAGGGGAATAGACTCCAATTCCTTAGGTATTTGGCTTTCCAGATTTGAGCCCAAAGTTTGTTCTATTCATTAAAAAAGCAACAGGCTATTTTTTTAAAAGCACTATATTCACCGACTTCAGGTTCCTAAATCCAAGATCCCCATAGTTTCTTAGTTGAGCCAGTTTATGCCAAGGACACCATTTATAGGAACGTTTGTTTGAATCAGATTTACCCCACTAGAAGCTTTTAATTGTTTATTCAATTCCGTGAGTGGTTTTTTGGGGAAACTTGACAAGACCCATGGAATGAAGAGGGGTAGCTTGAAGCACACAGATTGAATTAAGATTTGCTTCCCCGCACTACTAATAGAAAAAGCCTTCCATTTATTCAATTTTGCCGTGACATTATCTAGGACATAAGATAAATTGGAGTGTTTATTCCTTGACCACAACATAGGAAGACCTGAGTATTTGGATTTAAGGTCCAATGCCTGCATCTGTAATTGACACCTAATCAATCTCTGATGTCTAGAATGAATATTTTTGTTAAAAATTATTCCAAACTTGTGAAAATTTATCATTTGCACAGATAAGCCCTGAAAGTGAGAGAGAATATTTTTCAAGTTATCTAACTCATCTCTATGGGCCCTAAGAAACAACACCACATCATCATCAAAGAAAAAATGGAAAATAGATGGGGGCTGACTAGAAAGTTAGATTCCTTTGATCTAGCCTTGATCCTCTCTGCTTTGAGTAACAAACGTCTCCAAATATGACGCATTGGCAATTCAGCACACACACAAGGGCTAGGGTTGTTCATTGACCAACGATTTAAGAAATTGTCAAGAGAGTGACCATTAGTTATCAAAGTCGGAAGTGAGCATCGGCCATAGAGATAAC